CAACTGAAACACTATGGTGGCTGGAGAAAGTAATATGAGCATAATGGTCTTGAGTGCTTTTATAAAAAGGCACCAATATAAAAATCATAGAAAAACATCAAGACTCCACGTCCATTAACATTATTATTAATGCCAATAATAAATGTAACTATTTATTGGACATCTTACTGTCTTTTGTCATATTGAAGTTGGTACTGTCCATATTAACCATAGAAATAGTTCAGAATTATGCATACAGTATTTAATTTAGTCATAACAGTTCTTTGTTGTACTTTTTTATTCCTAAAACATTTGTCTTCTTCCAGTGTTGAAATAGATTTTGAGTCCCAGATGTTCAGCGTAAAGACTGTAGTTTGCCTCCCTGGTTCATTAATTCATTAGACTGCTGGCAAGCCATGCAGCAACTCGGCACATTAATATTGAATCCGGCTGATGTGCGGTCACAGGTGTGTGTTTACAATAACTTTGAGCTGATATATTCAGAATTTAGAGTTGAAACTATAGTGACATTTTCTCAAAACAATAAGAAATCAACAATGTTACTGCGATTAACAGTAAGCTAGTTTAAGATAAAAATAAATAAATTCCAAGAGACTGTGTTTCCTGAATTTCAACAGTAAGTTGGTTCCACAATCCTGGGAGCAGCTATAGAAAAAGCTCTGTCACCCATGGAATATAACTGTGTTTGATGGACAGCCAACAGGCCATGCTGAGAAGAGCCAAGCGGGAATAAATAAAGACTAAAAAGTAACGGCCCTAAAATTGAGCCCTGTGGTATGCCAGTAGAAACTGGTCCAATATCATGTTTAGAATTGCCTATGTTTCAGACAGACTGATCTCATGAAATGGCGTATGTATGACACGCCAATTCGTATTTTCATTTTTGGCGTGCTATCAACACGCATAATCGCTTTTCAGCGTGTTTATCAACGCCATTGACTTAACGTTATATTACTGTATTATGTATATATAAATATATGACCTACCCCAACCCCGTCCCTAAACCTACCCGTCACTGGGGTTAATACCATTTATGAGTCTTCTCCTACCATCCTAGGAAAAGAAATATCGCTCCACAGATGTAGATATAGATTTTGCTTCGTTTCGCTCGGACATTTAACGGCGTACACATACACGCGGAATCACTCGGACATTTAATGGCGTAGACATACACGCAAAAGATTTCGGCGTGGACATACACGCGGATAGCTCAAAATGCGTATAGATAACACGCCACTTGAATTGAAAGTGGCGTGTATGTTTACGCAAAGTCATGATGTCATGTTGGCTTCAGACCAGTTGGATTCTTTATTACATATTTACATACTAAAAAGGAAAAATGGACGAACATACCAAATGATGGAACAATCCATCCACAGGACAAAAAACTACAAGTCATTCTAGTTTCTCTGTTTTATCAGTTAGTACAGTGGTGAAGTTTTGTCTTGGGGCGGAATTGAACTGTGGACTCATTCATCTTTAATGGGAACTCTAGCACAAACAGCCCATTCTGTAGATGTCTCTCATGTTTTCCCACTGAACATCATCCCTGAACACACATTTTCTGAACTGGTTGGGGATGGGGACTAAATCATTCATTATAAAAGTGCACACGCGATGGCAGAAGGTAAAAATGTAATTAAATACTAGATGAGATTCTCTGATGAGCTTTGAAATAACTTCCGCTAAATAAAATAACACCTCTTTAATTTGATCCATGGGTACAAAATACACTCACCTAAAGGATTATTAGGAACACCATACTAATACTGTGTTTGACCCCCTTTCGCCTTCAGAACTGCCTTAATTCTACGTGGCATTGATTCAACAAAGTGCTGAAAGCATTCTTTAGAAATGTTGGCCCATTTTGATAGGATAGCATCTTGCAGTTGATGGAGATTTGTGGGATGCACATCCAGGGCACGAAGCTCCCGTTCCACCACATCCCAAAGATGCTCTATTGGGTTGAGATCTGGTGACTGTGGGGGCCATTTTAGTACAGTGAACTCATTGTCATGTTCAAGAAACCATTTTGAATTGATTCCAGCTTTGTGACATGGTGCATTATCCTGCTGGAAGTAGCCATCAGAGGATGGGTACATGATGGCCATAAAGGGATGGACATGGTCAGAAACAATGCTCAGGTAGGCCGTGGCATGTAAATGATGCCCAATTGGCACTAAGGGGCCTAAAGTGTGCCAAGAAAACATCCCCCACACCATTACACCACCACCACCAGCCTGCACAGTGGTAACAAGGCATGACGGATCCATGTTCTCATTCTGTTTACGCCAAATTTTGACTCTACCATCTGAATGCTTTAACAGAAATCGAGACTCATCAGACCAGGCAACATTTTTCCAGTCTTCAACTGTTAAATTTTGGTGAGCTCTTGCTAATTGTAGCCTCTTTTTCCTATTTGTAGTGGAGATGAGTGGTACCCGGTGGGGTCTTCTGCTGTTGTAGCCCATCCGCCTCAAGGTTGTACGTGTTGTGGCTTCACAAATGCTTTGCTGCATACCTCGGTTGTAACGAGTGGTTATTTCAGTCAAAGTTGCTCTTCTATCAGCTTGAATCAGTCGGCCCATTCTCCTCTGACCTCTAGCATCAACAAGGCATTTTCGCCCACAGGACTGCCGCATACTGGATGTTTTTCCCTTTTCACACCATTCTTTGTAAACCCTAGAAATGGTTGTGCGTGAAAATCCCAGTAACTGAGCAGATTGTGAAATACTCAGACCGGCCCGTCTGGCACCAACAACCATGCCACGCTCAAAATTGCTTAAATCACCTTTCTTTCCCATTCTGACATTCAGTTTGGAGTTCAGGAGATTGTCTTGACCAGGACCACACCCCTAAATGCATTGAAGCAACTGCCATGTGATTGGTTGATTAGATAATTGCATTAATGTGAAATTGAACAGGTGTTCCTAATAATCCTTCAGGTGAGTGTATATTGAAAAGAAGGATTGTTGCTTCTAAATTCACTAAATCCTAAATTCAGAATTTCACCCTTGAATACATCACAAAGTCGTGAGTACATAGAGTTTACGTGATGCTATCTACATGAACTGTACAACATGTCACATTAATTTTTCCACAGAGAGGAAAGAACATTTACTGGATAAGTGAATCAGACCAAACATCAGACAAACACAATCATGTTTCTGCACAACAAACACACTGGGTGGCCAATCAGTGACTGTGTTTAAACTGAGAGGCTAACCTGACTTCAGGTGCAGTTTACAGGAGTGTGTTTAATATTAGTAGCCTAAAGGAATGTTCTGGGTTCATTGCAAGTTATATCACTCGGCTTACCAAAAAAAAAAAAAAAAAAAGGACTCGTCCCACATTTCACAGTAATGCATTATGGATGATTCATAATGAATAAGGCCTTCTGGGGGGCTAAACAAGAAGCTTGTATTAAAATTACAGCATGTATATTAACTCTTCTGTACAAAAAAATATGTAACTGGAGCTGTTGAAAGTTATCTATGTGATCACTTTAATGCTGAGACTTCTTATGTGGATACATTTGCCCTGTTGACTTCCATTAGAGCTATACTGTATAAACAAATGTGCTTGTTTTTACAAACTGAGGGTTGAGTCCAAATTATTTTCTTTTGCAGAATAGGCCTATCACAGATGCAATTTATAGTCACAATAGTTACAATCATTTAAATCATAAGTTCTTAACCAGGGGCCTCGGCAAACTTCCCTATAGGTATATTTAAAATTAGTTAAATCACAACAACTCACTGAATAGTTTTGCCATGTTTATGACAGGGGTTGAACAATTTCAGATTTTTTTAAGCCGGCATTTATGTGATTTAAGTTGAGTCGACGATGACTAGTCGCTGATGACGTCATTAATGAACAAATAAGCCTAAATCTTGAGCTGAGACTTGAAAGCGGGTTGCCTTGTGCACAGCTATGGCATAAGCTATTGCTCCTACATAATAGCTTATCAGTTCTTTTGTCTTTGGGTCGTTATAGTGAAGCTGTGGGTTTTAGTTACTAAGAAATATATGCTAGAACTTTTCAGTTTCTAAGCTATTTTATTGATAAATCGCAGAACAGAGTTGACAATACATTTCTGCGCTACTGAATGTTTCTGTGTGCCTGCGATCTGCACGTGATGTGCGCGCTACTGTCTGTATGTGTGTGCGTTACAATGCAGCAGTGCATTCGTTTAGAACATGCATTTACCTGATTCATTTTGAGCATCCAGATGGTATAATCAAACATATATTGTAGAGCGATCTCGTAGTATACATTTATTTGTCATTTTAACTGTTGGAAACGGAGCGTAAAAGCGGACTTCAAAGACTAGTCGATGTGAAGCTTAAAACATCATGGCAGAACATAAAAGTCGACTAGTCTGTGCAACCCCCTAGTTCATGAACATTGCAATGTTAATGTATTTGTTCTTGGCGGACTAGATTTGCTATGCATGCTGCTGCTTCAGAGCAAGTATGGATTTGCTACTGCTAATAGAAACACAGACATGATGCTGTGAGCATGCAAGATATGCTGCTGCTGCATGAATAGACATACATGTATCCTCTAGCAGATCTAGGCAGGTGGAGCAGGGGGAGGGGGAGGGGTTCAGAGGAACTCTGATAGCGCGATACAGGACTAGCCTACAGCAAACACTGAACCAGACTCATTAGCTGTAGAATCAGCAGAGGCCAATCAGCTTGTGCCATGCGGTAATGATGTGATTGCTTGCAGATTGCATGTAAAGGACCTATCAGCCTGCACCCTAGAGTTTCATGACTGAACTAGAAATCTAAAAAATGCTATAAAAAAAAAGAAGATTTTTTTCAGTTTATTTATTTTTATTACAACAGAAGTACCAGAGGTACATAGCTTACATATAGGAGGACCTTTGAATATTGTCTTGGACAAAGTTGGGTCAAAAAGGTTACGAACCACTGCTTTAAGCAAACAATTAAACCAAGAAATGAACAGAACCAGTAAGATGTGATGTGACTTACTGCAGGTGGCATCAGCCTCATCTGATCCATCTGGACACTCAGGTTCTCCGTCACAACGCCAACGCCCAGGAACACACTGACCGTTCGCACACGCAAACTCTAAGGGTGCGCATGTGTTCTTCACTGCACATGGAGAAAGAAAGAGAGAGTTAAATGCTTGTACAGAAAAGAATTTCAAGACAGAATTCTCTCCGATTTCATCATGAATATCTTCATTTGTGTTTCGAATATGAATGAAAATCGAATGGGTTTGGAATGACATGAGAGTAAGTAAATTATGACAGAATTTCCATTTATCCTTTTATCAAAAATGTTGCGATACCTAACATTAATGCTAGAAAGCAAATGCACTTGCCAATTGTCTTTTTAGTCTATTTCACTTAAAAATCGTGAGTTGTGAAATTTTTAATAAAATGGAGGGGGAAAAAAATGAAAGGTACAGTATGCATAGAAAACAGATTTACAGCTTTTGTAATACTGCTGCACTCACAGATCAGAGCAGATGGAGCTGTATGCAATAGAGCATGGACAACAGTCTGGAGCCGCAGATATTATATGCAGAGACACTGCTCTCCACCTGCCGAGTTACTTACAAACTCTCACAGACCTTCAGTGGGCGGCAATCACAATACCCTAACACAACTCCACAAGACCTGTCGACAAACCTTAAGGATCCACTGCGGCAATGCTGCATCATATTCTTTCCCCACAGCTCTGTAAGGCCTCCTATTGTCCTTGGACTCTGGTAAAGGCAATGCGTGGTGTGGGCCAGTAACCAACCAACAGGGACGCGTCTAATCAAACGGAATGCACCCGCAGCCCTCCCCGAATCGTCAAGCTGTGCATCTGACTCATCCGAGAATGTGTTTTTAACAGGAACATTACATCAGCAGCTCTCGCTTCTCCTTCACAACAGTAAACACCCGTTTATTGAGCAGATTGTAATCATGATAGACCCTTCGCTAAGCCCCACTTTGCTGCTGACCAATCCTACCTTAGCAACTGTTGCCGGTTGCTCTTTTTAATGCAAGTCTAAAGGTCATGATAAACAGGGCAACTTTTTAAGCAATGTTGCTGGTCAATCTTGCCGAGCGATTGTTGCTTGGGCAATTGAAAATGGGTAATACATTTCTATCTGGATAATTTAGCTCGGTTGTGGCTCATCTGGTTGCCAGTTGACGGCAACATTGCCCAGCAAAATTGCCCAAAAAGTTGCCCTGTGTATCATCACCTTGAGGATCTGTGTGTTTGGACAGTTTAAAATGTAATTTTACAGGAATTACCTAAAAAAAAGTTGTTAGTCTGCCGTTTTTGTCCATGTTACTATAATTTTATATTATTTAAAAGAAAAACATCAGATAAAAATATCATGCCTTGATTGGCCAAAAAATTCCTTTTAGTCCACATAAAAATAATTAATTTGGATTCATTAAATTGGTATATTTTACTTAAAAATCACACTGTGCACTGAAGTCTATTGTAACGCTTGTCTGAGTCGGAACTGTAAACAAGGAAAGAATTCTGCATTAACTGTTATTTTCCTGTGTATTACTGTGAAGCTGCTTTGAAACACTCTGTATTGTATAAAGCGCTATATAAATAAATGTGACTTGGGTTGACTGTAGCATTGGATGTTTGCCCGGGATGTTTCTTTGTTGCCAAGGTGTTCTGCATGTTTTTTGCACATTGATGCATTTTTTCCTTGATATGGCTTGGATGACTCCTTCTATGACATTTTATTTGTATTCAAGGACAATGAAGGCATCTGCATTGAGATTCAGTGATACACTTTAAAGTTGTTTACTCACTAACAACTGTTTTCACCAATTAGTGCCATCTGTTAGGGGCGCACTGCTGTTTTTTTTTTTTTAATTAAGACAGAATGGTACTTTCAGAGACAGAAAAAAGGAGAAAAAACAGGGATAGAAAGAGATGGAAAAAGAGAGGAATGTAAAACTTCAACTGAAATCTAGTTATAAGCAACAATGTGTCGTAAATAGATGTGATGCGATAAGGAGATAACCAATAAATGATCCTAACCACTCATATAGCTGTGATGAGTGGCAGGACATCTGAACACTAGCTTGGTTTCTACTTATCTGCGAAGCTCCACCCACAGTGAAACCTCATTGGTTTAAAATCTCCCTTCGCATAATTGTATAACATCAAATGCACAGTCACTGATACACATTTTTAACATTTCAGCATCATAAGCAAGTTTCAGACCTTTGAGGGGAAACAATGTCCATTATGACATCTCTGTACGGGTTCCAACCATTCTGGCTATAGTGTAAGAATGAGAGAAAGGTTGTATTCATACGGACAGCTACTCTCCAAGGCATTATCCTATCTTATCTTACCCAAGGCAATACAAAGCCAAATTCTGTGAAAGGCTCACTACAGACATGGAGGCTTCTTTAGCCAGCATCACCTCCAATCTTTCACAGACAAGGCAATCCAAGACTGCACTGCAATGAGCTCGAGAGGACAGTGATTACATTTATTTTTCCTTTCAATACTGAAATATTGATAACAATTTTAATTAAGAATGAACTATTTTAACACATTTGTGTGTTTTCCCCATATTAAAAATATTTCTTAATTAGCTTAGCAACATGCTATGTCATATTTAATTTGGTGCAAATGAAAACAAGCCTGTCCCTTGTGGAAAAGAATTGCTCTTAATTATATTGAATGTGCACTAATGAGCTTCAAATCATAAAAGTATATTTAAAAAAAAAAGCTGTATATGCAGATATCACTTAAAGTCCCACTCCGATCATATTTTGAGCTATTTTAAAACATTCCCAGTGGTCTTTAAATTATGATTATGCCATTTTTAGCCAAAATCACAAAACCTGTGCCGTTTTCTGGGACTTCGCTTCAGCAGAGCGGCAGTGGCTCATTAGCAATTCGCCTCTGCGTTGTGGGCGGAGCCGTTGGCACGGAGACGACCCTCCCCCTGCCCGTTGCTGAGAGCTCTGTCTCTCCCGCTAGCTTACACCCCCAATACCGGTGGGGCAACAGTATTATATACACGTTAATTATTATTATCCGAAGTTAATCAAAGTTATCACCGATCACCGATCATTATTTCACTCCAAGACATCGCGTGTGGAGACGCCCAGTGGAGTTACTACGTCACAACTCCAGTCTATTTTAGCCTGCATTTTAGCGTCTGCTACTGATTCACAGCCATTTGAATGTAGAAATACTCAGAAATACAACTTTGAGCTGATTTTTCTCAAGATATGTCCTCTAACATCAGAAAAATGCCACAAGAACATGTTAACACCTAGAAAAACATTATTTTCATCGGAGTGGGTCTTTAAGTGTACACTTTCATGACGTTTCTTAACACACTCAAAAGTGCACACTGTAATTAGATTAAGTCAGATTAAAAGTTTGACTTTAAAGTACATTTTAAATCATTATTTTAATTTAATCATGACAAATGTGTTATTACAAATATATCACACACCATGTGACATCTACCCAAACTAAGGTTCATCGTGATTTGCATTAGATGTTTCAAAACGGTCCCATTTTGGTTAGGATGCTGCCTAAGAAGGCAGCTACATACTGTATATAGGCACTAGTTAGAAAGGCAGCTTGGTGGGTTTTGGATCAGATCAGATATGTAATAGTACTGCACATCATAACCCAATAACAAGATAGTTTATATGTCCTCCAGTCCTTTGAGTTTCACCTCCAGATAAGAAATAGAGTTCAGCCCGAGCGGCTCAATCTGGACACTGTAATCACCCGAGGCCTGCCCAGTATAAACCAGATATCTTCTCCTTTCTGTCAGAACAGGGCAGACAAGCGTACTTCTATCCATCTCTACATCTTGTTTTGGTCCTGCAGTCTTCCATCACTGTGTTCTAGTGTGATTTAAAAGTCTAAGGTTGACCAACACATGCAGGCACAAACATATGCCTCAGTGACAAAAAACTATCTAACCTACTATCTAACCAAGCACAAAATAAAGCTGAAGCAATACCTGAAAACAGGATTGAGACATGATGGAAATGTAAATATTTTACTGCCACACAAAGGAAGGACAGAGGCCTACACATGCACACAAACTTACACCCACAAAACACTATGTAATAGTTTTGTTAAGAAATAGTTTATTTCTGAGTCTCCCATTCAAGCAAATGGAAGATTCGCTTTTAATTGGTAAATATCATCCTTGAAATTAAACAGAGTGCATTTGGGAAATGAAATCACATTAGGCAGGATTTGCAGCAGTTTGTCTGGGCGTCAGTGAGAAGTGGGGTGAGAAGAGTTCAAAGATCCCGCATCTCTTCTGATACTAAAATCCCGAAAATCAAAAGGACTCTCTGAGAATCCAAGTGCATCAGACAGTAGATGCTTATTTTATGGCAAACCACAGATCCTGGTTCAGAGTAGAGCTGGACGATTAATTAAGTAATCCACATTGTACGGTTTGGAACGAAATCTGTGACAGAAAGTAATCTGCCAAGTGTTTTGATAATTAATCGAGTAACTGTTTGTTGCACATCTTGGTAATTGAGTAATCTGCCAACAACATTCTTGATTAATCGAGTACATTTTTGTTGTGCATCCTGGTAATCGAGTTTTTTGATGAAAATGATGGTGAATAATTGAGTAATCTGCATTATACAGATTGGAAAGGGAGTAATCTGTCAACTGTTATTGATTCATTTAATTTAGTAGCCTGCAGTAATCGAGTAATAACAAGTTTTTTGATAATTAATCGACTAACCTTTGTTGTATATCTTGGTAATCGAGTAATCTGCCGATTATTTTGATTGTTCAGTGATTGAGTGTTCTGTGTTGTGCATCTTAGTCTAGTAATCTGCCAATTATTTTCCATTAGGATCAAGCAAGCAGACGGGAACCCAACATCCAGGTCTCGCACTACCTGGCCCTCAGAGTAGAAGAATGTGGGGACAAACAATAGTTCAATCTAAGTACTAATAGATTTCTTTTTAACCAAAATGTGTGTTCTATGGGTTTTTTCTCATAGAACACAATTATTAGTTTTTAACATTATTAGCAACATGCTAATGTGTTTTTTTTTTTTTTCAATGAACCTTAGTGTGAACAATCTACTGATTATTTTGATGATTAAT